TCTCAATAGTTATAGTTAGCACTTCACTGACCCTGCAATAGTGTAGCACAGAGATCCTCATTGGGAAATGACACAGAATGCCTGGGCCATCTCCCAGAACAGGCTGATTAAATAATCAGCCAGATCTGAATATGTTCTGCCTCTTAAACCAGATTTTGATCAGCTTCATTCGTGAGCTCCCCTGAGGATTTTTTTGAACGTGTGTAAGTGCTTTGTGGACTTTGGCCTCCTGTATGACTGTAAAATACTGATTGTTACAAAGAGGTAAAAGAAACAAACATGTAATGCTACTCCTCCAGTGATTTTAGAAGAAGGATAAATCGTAATTTACCAAAAAGTCCAAAGCAGACTTAGCAGTTCAGTTGAAAATTCTGACCCTGGTGTTTATGGATGTTTTGCAGCTTTATTTTACTGCTTTTTTTCAGTGTAAGAATTAAATTTAATGTAAGTCCATAAACTCAAACAGCACAAACATGTAAATCATAGTATCATAGAATTATATAATCATTAAGGTTGGAAAAGACCACTAATACATTAGTGTATATTGATAAGACCCTGCTGGTTGAGGTAATGGAAGAGGTGATGAAAGTGGAATATTTTTAGACACGAATCCAGCCACATTCCCCTTCTATACAGTATGCATGGGTCTCTAAAAGGGTAAAAAGAAATGCTGGGGAAGGAGCTGTACTGCACATTAAAAATAAAGTGAGCACTAGGATTCCCTACACGAATGTTTTCATCCTACCCTTGCTATATAGATAGCCTCAAAGTCTTCAGCTCACCAGAGCTTTAGAGGGACTTGGATGGCTTAGAGGATTGCTTTTGGGATACAGAGGCTTTCATCCTACGTCACTGCCCTTGGCCTCAGTCCAGAGCGGGCAGTGATGAGCAGCTGCTGTGTGATGAGCTCTTCCCTGCGGCCGAAATCCCTGTGAGTGGCCTCATTCTAAGGCAGTGTCCCCAGGAGCCCCGGGCTTGTCCCCACCACCCAACCGCTGTGGGCATGGTGGATTTCAGGAGAGCACCCCCATGGGTCCTGTGTCCCCACAGAAGGCATCTGCACCCACAGGGCTAGTGGCAGCTGGCTCTGAGAGATGATGCATGCCACCGTGCTGCATGGCTGCCAGCTGCAGTGAGGGCAGGAGGAGCGAGACCCAGAAACACATCCGAATGGCTGGCAAAGCACTCCCTTCCTCTCGGCACCGCAAGCAGTACCATCGGTTGTGCTTCTCATTAGGCAGAAATTGCTAACAGCAGGGGAAGGAGAGGAAACACAAACCTTCTGGCTAACGTTTATCACAAAGTGCTAACCTTCTGATAGGTTTCAGAATGAGGGATGAAAGGTTGGTCTTAGGAGAATAGGAAATGTTTTCTAAATCAGAGGTGATACTCTTTATTATTATTATTATTATTATTATTATTTTCCATAAAAGCTATTTGGAAGGTGAGACCTATTTGTTAGGGTCTCTGATCTACCTGAAGATGAAGTGTACCTGGGGGAAGAGAATTCCAAAGTGAGAAAGATAAAGCTGGGCTGGGGAAGGAAGTCATACTCTTCTGACCAATAGAGGGATGTGACTCTTGGCACAGTCACCTAGAAAACTTAGTGCCAGCTAATGTGAAATTACTGCTACGTCAGAGACACAGATAGGCTTTTTTAAAAGCAGCAGCTATTTTAAGTATGAGAAAGCCTTTGAGGAAAGGTAAATGAATGTGGTTTTTCTCTGCTTTGCATAGACCAGATTGTGGGGGAACTGTTTTACAGATAGTCCCCTCTGCATAAAACGAGAAGCTGTTTTCAATCACTTATCAGCAAAACTGTAAATCATTGTTTACGTGGGTTAAAAAATAGTTCTTGGAATTGTGATCTTACAAAATGACAGAAAAATTTGGTATTAATTACCTCACTAAGGAACTGGAATTTATGCTAATAAGTAATATTTGTCAGGTTTGGATGCATTTGTTACAGGCTGTCACCCATTAATATGGATGAACAAGAAGTGGAAGAGAAAAATCACCCAAATTACTGTCACTAAACAGGTACAAAAATCCCACACAAGCCAAGATTTTTAAGCCTCCCATGGAATTCTTATGACTGCTGAAATCAATGTTCTTGGAGGAACCAACTCCTTCTCAACCAGAAAAGAATGAGAGGACATTCTGCCTCTGGGGGTGATGGGGGGCAGGAGAGCAGAACACTGGATGGGAGGAAAGCTCAGCCTGCAGGCAGCCATGTGTGACACAGCAGCTTTGAGGTGGCAGTTGCTTTCCTCTCCCTGATGTGGAATGGGTTTGCATCAAACATGGAACCCAAACCAGAGCATCCCGGAGGCAGGCAGCTGCATGGATCTGGCTCTTTCTTCTCTGGCCTTTGCTCCAGGTGGATGCGGCTCATGGCCTCAGTGATGTGCTTGTGTCAAACGGTGCGTTTTGCTTCTCTTCCCACAATATTTCAGCTCTGCTGGAAAGGGCAGAGTGGTGGCAAGGACTTGGCTCCGCACCTTGGAAGCTGGTATATGCTCATAATCGCTTGACTCACCAAGCTGAGACTTTGGGAAAAGCACCAAATGTTTGTACATCCTGAGATAAAACTGCACCATTTGGCAGTGCTGCTGCTTGCATCGTCAGTGCTTGGTGGGAAAGACACACCTAGGCTTTTATTGCTGCAGTTTAATGTATTTAAGATGACAAGTCCGATACAATCCCAAATCTGAACTTCCCAGCTGGAACACCCTCCTGTCCCTTGTCACGCCATGCCAAGGGAAGTTGGCATGGAGCCAGCAGCCGTCCCCTGGAAAGCAGGCTGGGGACAGAGCCAGCACACAGAGCAAAGTGCAGGGGAAAATCAGCCTCACGGATGTTTGTGTTCACTCTGATGTCCACCCTGCAAGATGGAAAGCACTCTGCTTTTCAGACACCAGCAGCTTTGGATGCTCAGGTTTCACAATCTGTCACAAAAAGAGCCAGTGGAAGGGGCTGATTGTCAGCACGCAGAATGTCCACCGGTGGGAACGAGCCGCTGCAGAGCAGCCTGGGGAAGCAAGAGCAATGCTCTGTGTAGCAGACCCTGGCTGTGCAGGCTCGGATTGTGGAACAGTTAAGCATCAAAGAACTCTGCTCTGAGTGGAGCTGGATAGCTCTTGAATTATAAATGCATTAAAAATACCAAGCATATTTTGGAGTCCTATTTCAAGTTTTTTTAGTCTATCAGCAGAGTAAAAGAGGTGAAGAAAGATTTTGCAAGGTGCGGGGTAAAACAGACCAGAGAGTAATAAAATACTTCTTTTAAACGAGCCCAGTTGGAATGAGAGCCTCTTTATGACAGCTTGCAGAGGCTGTAGTGTTTTGCAAAACTGTGTGATAAACTCCAAATAGCTTCTCTGCAAATCTCTGGAGGCAGAGTAGAGCTAAGGCTGGCTGCTGTGCTGCCACAGCTTTCAATGAATGAGCTCAAAATGGACCCTCTAGTGACAGCTCTGTCAAAGAATAACAATCGGGTACTCTTGGAGACAACAACTTCAACGTACACATTTTTGTAAGCATAAATGAACTCTAATGTACCGGTTTCAAATGCAGCTCAGTGCTCAAGGTTTTTAAGATGCCTGTTTAGATGATGAAGAAAATAAAACCAAATGGAGCACATACTGCATTTCCCCTTGTTTGGTTTGCAAGGCACGGTTCTTGCTAGAATTGAGATGAGAACAGAATACAAATAAAGGTGGTTTTGGTGGGGAGGGAAGGACTGGTTAAAGGTAGCTCTGACATTACCGGCAGAGGGGAAATGCCAGAGCAGCTGCCATCACCCAGCACTTCAGGTGAATTGATTCCAAGAGGGAGGGACTCTCCCTCTGCAAACTCAGAGCTATGGAACAAGGTCCAAAAAAATCACGTTTGGGGGAAGGTGCTTCAGACTGCAAAAATCAATGGGCTAGAAATAGGCTTAATCAGAACCTGATCATTACCTCATGATATTATTATTTTCTCTGCAAACAGCTGAATTCATACCACCAGTAAATTTTGCATTCGGATTGGTGTTGTGCCTTCTCTCTTGAGGACCATAAAGCAAAAGAGTCTCCCTATGTTGAGCTCTGGGAGCTTTTTAGCAGTGGTGCATGGTGCAGGTTGGGTGCACCTTCAGCTTGTGGTTACACCTTGCTTAAAATAGTGGTTGCATTGCAAGTTACAAAGTTATGTTGTTTCTAGCTGAGTGACTGTCAGGAGGACTTCCTGAGACTGAATTATCTGAGGCTCTTTCCCAGGCACAGCGCAGGAGTTAACATTTCTGCGGTGGAAGCACAGTGTCTGTTTGGATTCTGCTCAGGTGTAGCTGCTTGTGCAGTCCGAAGGAGCTCCTGCTATTGCCAAAGGAAAATTAAAACATATCTGGCTTGGCTAATAAAAGGCTATGAGTATTAATGGCTTTTTCTCCAATTGCCAGGAACTTTCAGCCTCTAACGTGATGAAGATGGAGTATGTACAGACATGGGTGTTGTCATGCTGCTTTTAAATTTTGGTATGCTAGTGACTGTATAGACTTTTGGCAAACAAATATGCAGGGAGTGTAAGAGACACAATGAGAATGTGATTGTTACATCCAGGAGAGGAAAGGACAATTCTTAGGCATAAAGACTGTTAGTTTGGACAGTTATAAAAATAACAGCAATTTATGGACCTGTGTCTCAGAAGTGCTGAGCGCTCCTGGCTTGGTAAAATCAATAGCCCCTATCCAGGATTACTTGAATCTCAAACATACCAACACTCAACACAATTTAATATCGGTTACCTATTAGCTTTTAATGACTGTATATATTTTGACAAAGCTGCTATGTTTTTACAAATGGGATATTAACTGTACAACACAGTGGAAAATAATCCACCCCTAAAAGGAAAATCATATTAACACACGGCGCTAAGAGCAAACATATTTACAAACAGAAGCTGAGCAACAAACACATCTACCAGATGTTACTGAGATAAAGACAGTCTGAACTGCTCAGCTGAAGGAGCTCAAGTTCTGCTGAGGGATTTTTTCTGAGCATGTATTTCACGATGGATCTCCTTGCTTTTGAGGAAGCAGTCACGAAGTTGGGGCATGAGGTTACAAAGCTATATTTAAGATTCAATGGTGGGTAAAATTTTAACAGCTTCAGATACATTTTCCCCTTTTTCTTTTTCATTCTTTGATAAGAAAAGATCTTTGACCGCCTTAAGGATAGCTCGTGAATGGAAACTTCGGGTGGGACTTAGCATGCTCTCAAGTAACCACTTGTATTAAGAGACAGGATTGACTGTGAAGGGACAGAGGAAGGCCCTCCCTCCTCATTGTTCAGTCTGGCCCTTGCAGTCCTTGTGGATCCATCCAGGCAGAGCCACTTGGCTCTGTAGATTCAGCTCTGAAGCGTCAGAGCCATTTGCAGGGGTGTTTGCACTGCCTATATCAGATGACTTCTGCCCTTTTACCACAAATCCTCCTTGTTCAGCTTTCATTCTTGCAGGCTGTTTCTAAGACTAGCTTGGTACATCTTGTCAGTGTTGTTTGTTTTGATTCTCTGATAACCAAAATGAAAAGAATCGGATGAATTTCTAAAAAACAGTCAAACCTCAGAAAGTGAGTCCCCAGACAATTCCTGTGGAGGGTAAGATGGTGTTCCTGAGACACGAAGTGTTATTTCAGGCCAGCACAAATGCCTCGCGTGTGCTCAGCAGCTGGGAGCTGCGCTGATCTGTCCCTCGACACTCTACACCGCACTTCAGTGGGCTTGTAAAGCTCCTTCAGCCTTTGTACTTAACAGGCGTACTGTTAAAATTATTTGTAAATTTCTGTGATTCCATTCTGCATGAGTTGGCAATGAGTCAGCAGCAGCTTTTCTAGATCAGAAATACATCCGGAGCCATTTTTTTGTTCTCTGATAGTTTTTCCCTTGCATCAAATACTGCCTAGTTGCATTGAGAAACCTCACCAAAACCTCACAAATAAAAAAAAAATAATCTGGTATTCATCTTATGATGACAAAAAGCTTTCTTGATACTATGAAGGAAGGCACAACTTTTTCTCCAAGATAGATCTCAACATTGGTAATTTCTTATCCGTGTTAGGATGGATAGCACTGATATGGAGAGGAGGCCCCAAAGGAGTTGTTTTCCATCCATTCTCCAGCATTAGCTTCCCCCAGCCTCATCTGGGAGAGCACCATTTCCTGGCCTCACCATGCAGAACTCGGTGCACACTCAAGCGCACTCTGCCAGCTGCGTTCACTGAGCTGCGAACAATTTTGAGCCAGGCTGAGCTGCCTTCTGGCCCATGTGGCAGCTCTCCAACTTCCTGTGCCCTTTACACTTCTCATCAGCCTCTGGTGCTCTCAGGTGTGCTGTCCTGCACGCTGCCACTGCTGCTGATGTGTGTGACAGCAGAGCAGGGGGACAGAGCAGGTAATGGGGGGAGATTTTCCCAGTCTGATCATGCCACCACTAGCTGTTAGATTCCTACAAGGACAGGGGATGCTATGGTATCATGTCGGTCTGTGTGGATTTGTGTTAAAGGGCATCATACATATATGTTATAGCCTCTAGTCCTCTTTGCTCTCAAACACTGCTTCTTTCCAGCTTACTCAGGAAACTCCTGTTCTAATTCCTAATTCCTCATTCAGAGTCAACAGATCTCCTGCCGCTGTCCTATGAAGTCTCCTTAAGTAGCTGTCCTCTTTTCCATACTCACCTGCCCGGTACAATATATGCTGGGCTTTGAAGCCCTCTGCATTTCCTGCCCTAACCTTTAAAATAACATTTATCTGTCATGAGGAGCTACTGAGTCTTAGAGTCATAGAATGGCATGGGATGCAAGGGACTTTAAATATCATGCAGTTCTAACCCACCCACCATGGGCAGGGCTGCCACAGCTCAGGCTGCCCAGAGCCCCATCCAACCTGGCCTTGAACTCCTCGAGGGAAGTGGCATCCACAGTTTCTCTGGGCAATCCCCAGGCCATCCCTGCGATGTCTGTGCAACTTCCCTGCTGTGGACCCTACATCCAAAATTCCGCAGGCTGCTCACCAGAAGCCCAGGGGAAGCTGATCACGCTGTATCTCAGCTGCTGGCTGGAGCAAGCGATAAGGAAACCTTTAAGAAGAGAAGGGAGCATGCAGCTTCAACAGGCTGATTATATTTTTCCCCCTCGGGAACCAGCTGGCTTGCAGTATGAGCACAAGTCATTAGGAAATCTAGAGCCAATAGGCATGTAGCATGCCAGCACAGAAAGCAACAACAACAGACATGGCCAGTGTTGGTGGACTCACCTCTCTCAGGACTCTGGAGAAGACAATGAATGCCTGTGTCTTTGCAAAGCATAGATCAGCCTCTCCTGCTCAGGCATTCAGCAGATACACTTAATTTTTCTGACCTAATTTCGCACAATATATATTCTCTTTTATAGAGGAACTTAATTAACAGAATGTGAATAAGATCTCTTCTGCCTGCCCTCCCCCTAGTGCACACATGCAGAGAGCACTCCAAAAATTGTTCCTGGAGGTTTCTTGCCTTTGAGCAGATGTCGTTCTAGAAGGAATGTGTCAGGTGGCCTTGCTCTAACTCAGCTTTGAATGATGCTGTCTGTCCCATTGCTCCCTCCATTTCTCCAAAGACTGATGAGCTTGAAGCTCATGGCTGTGTTCTCATCCCTGGTTCCTGCCTGAGGTCAGCACATTGTAATTCACTGGTGATTAATCTGCTGCATTACTTCCACGTGCCCTTCTGCCACAACACTTCTTTGTGAGGATGCTCAGGAACACCACCATCCAGAGCTCTGCCAGCAGAGATGGAGAGCCAGGCTGTGTGTGCATGCAGAGGGGCTGGCCAAGAGCACACTGTGTAATGAATGGCTCTGGGTTCTTTTAGTTTAATGATCGTAATAATACGTTTCATTTATATAGCACCTATTTGCATGGTAATATGAGCAATATGTGTGCTTTGGTGAAATGAGAGATGACAGCAAACGGATTAAAAACTAAGATTCAACTTGAAATGAGGGAAAACAATCAAATGAATCACAGAGCCAAGCAATAGCAAATCATTATTCTTAAATCACCATAATAGCAAAACAAATGGAAAATACACTGTTCAACACTTTTTCCTTGTCTGAAGGCAAATGCTGAGTGACACTGCCAAGCTTATGCAGAAATAGAGCCTGGTTCACTGTCTACGTTTCATGAAAACCTTCAAAATAGGAAAGATTTAAGTGGGACTTTAGTTGCCTATTAGCTGTGTGCTAGCTGTACTTCACACGTGGGTTTGGACACTGGCGAAAAGTCGTATCTCCTAATCCTTGCATTATTCATCTTGTCACTGGAGTGAGAAAATGTATTTTCCCAAACTTTAAGCCCCTTCAAATTTAATGGATTTAGAATTGGACAATAATGGGGCAGTGCCTATTAATATTCAAACTCAATTTTCTCATATGTAATTCATCAGCTTCTTCAGCCCCAATTAGTTTTTGTGCGGCTGTCAGTTGCAGGTAATATCAGTGTTCTGTTCATCTCTTCTGCTTTCTCCTCCCATCTCTTCCCCCATATTCATTATTTTTATTATACTGATCCTCTCCACCCTGGACTGCCAAGCCTTCCCTGCATTCCTGTTTCTCCTAATGACTCACCTTCCTCTTTAGCACCATAGAAGTGATACAGCAGTTTACATACAAACAAAATAATCTTAATTTGGGGATACAAAAGAATCTGATTTTGGTCCAGCAGGAGGGTCATGCTTCCAAAGTCTATTGGATGCTGACTGGCTTGCAGTACTCAGAGTAGTGTCTAGTTCAGCGAGATAAACTCTTCATTCATTCATATTTATAATAGCTTGACTTCAGCTGCTCTGTAAAACTGCACTCATAGGAAATCTAGGCTTTCCCCTTGAATGCGTATCTTTAGGCTAGAACGTTTCTGTTTATTATGACGTGTTTTATTTAATGACAAAGCTCTTCCCTACTTATTACCCCACATAAATATTTCAAATATTCAGTGGAACAAGGAGAATAGATATCCCTCTGGCAGGTGACAGGATCTGCTCCGTATTAAAGAGTAACACCAAGGGTGGCACTCCTGTCAATTTAGAAAAGACACACTGTAATTCAGACTTGCAAACATGCCCTTTCCCATGCTTGTAAATGTACACATCTGGACATCATGAAAATGTATTAACACATGGGCATATTTTCCCCTTGTTAGCAGCTGGTCAGCTGCAGTTTAATCATGCTCTAATGCAGATGATGGCACAGCTCTCCTTGACACCATGTGTCTAAATGTTTATTCCTGATTTTTATGTATGTTCTCCCATCCCTTAGAGAGATAATATCAGTGTGATTGAGGATATTTTAGGGAAACAATGCAAGTGCCTTAAGTCCCTGGGTGCTCTCTGTTCCCTATCACTCCACTGCTGGTAAATGCGGCTCTGACACACAGTCAATGAAAAGGGGTGGGAGCCAATAAATAACGTGGGTAATTAAACTCTGGCATTGAAATGCTCCTGGAGAGCAGGAGGCTGTGCAGTGTGGTGAGTGTCTGAGCTCCTGCCACAGCATGGGGGAAGAGAGCATGCTCCCATAGGCTCTGCAGGGCAGGTAGCACTGGGGCTGACTTGTGGGGGCTGTCATGGCTTGCATCCCTTGCTCTGATACCTCCAGCTGCTTTTTGCAGGGATCTGAGCAGCACTCAGCATTTCCCCTTCAAACAAGAGAGGTGGCCTGAGCTTTCAAACAGATTATAGGAAGAATTGTCTGGATGCTTCCAACTGAAATTTCCAGAGTTTAAATCCAGGCTGAGCTTGGGGTGCAGCTCTGGAGTTGCCAGCCAATACCCAGACCCTCGGTGACACAGAATTGCCATATGCGTTGCCTATTGCTGTTTATATGGACCAGAGACCAGCTGAATGCAGATAAAAGGCCATTGCTGCCCTAAATTTGCCATGCTGCTGCAAAAACATGATCACAACTGTTTCACCCCCTCCAGCCCTACAGGCACTGGGCTGCTGTCGTCTCATCTCAGAAGAATAAACAGTCTGATTTGGTGCAATAACTATTTTTCTCAGTATTTTGTAAGCCCAGTAAAGTCTTTTTCTGACAAGGTTCATCAGATCGCTGGTTCAGGAACCAGAGTTGAAGAGTCCTGGCAGAAATCTGACCTGGCTGGGCTAGGATACTGGCTTAAACATTTTTGTTACATGATTTTACAAGCACTTTCAAGCACCAAAGCAGTTACCATCTGCCCGCAAGCCCTGCTGAGCCACAAAGGAATGTGCTAAGAGATATCCCTCAATAATGAGCTGCCACATCAAGCAGGAGTTGGCTGCTTAAATGATGAACCTAAGCTAGACACGGTTCAAGCTAACCTAGTGATCATGCCCTGGTCAAAACCGCTGTGCACAGAAAGGCTGAAGAAGCAAAAGAAGGAGTGTGGTGTATGAGGATATTTATAACTCTTCTGGGAGACTGACATTAATTACTTTGCCAGCTGGACGAGCTCACAATGAACCAACATCCCACAGAATTTCCACGGTCCAGCCAAATTGGGAATGCACTTTGCTAGCGAGCTGTCACACGCACATTTATAAGGCACCGTGATGCTGGGAAGTGGTTTTGCACAATGTGAAGTGGTGCAAATTTGGGCTACACATCTTAGCATGCTGTGCTGGTTTTTTCACTCGCTTACATAGGTCAATTTTTGCCTTTATATTTGTATTTCATATAGTAGCAAGATACAGAAAAAAACACGTATTAGGAAAAAAAAAAAGCCCAACATCTTGGTACATGAGTTAGTCATTGCTAGACTTAATTTGGTGATACTGAAATGTACACATGATAACTATTGTTACTACTCCACTACTACTGGTTTAAGTTAGAATCCCAGGGAATTAAAAGATGATGTTTTGATCACAAAAGATCCTATGTTTTCCTATTGAAACAAGAGAAACATTTTGAAAATCTCCAACATGCCAATTTCAAAATTAAGGAGAGAAATTGCTCGTTGTGTACTTTGTCCACTTTCAATTACATGCCAAAATTTACCACATACTGCTTTAATGGAACATCTGTTTTAATAGCTTGTATTTTGATTCCTGAAAGAGAAGACTCAATAGTATGTTTTTAAAATTCAGATCATTTTGGAATGAACAAGATAATTACAGGCCAATCCTGCCTTTAGTTTTCTCTCACAACTTAAAAGTGCTGCTTCTGATTTCCCCCATATGGATACAAAGCAGATCAGGTTGGAAATATGGGCTAATGTGCTTTTGAAAATAGGAAATAATTTCTCTCTTTCTCTCTTTTTTTTTTTTTTAACATGAAATGACATTCCTTATCCTGAGAGACAATGAGAGTTGAAGCACCTGCTGAAATCCATGGACGCTGCTGTGGCGCAGCCACTGGCAGGATGAGATGGAGGACAGGGACAGGAGAAGTTTTTGGGTGCTCTCTGTTCCATGTTCTGCCTTGGACATCACCTACTTCCAGTACTTTCAATGCAAGAGATTTTAAAAGAACATAAGAATTAGATCCCTGTTTTGGCCACCAAGACTGTGAAATTTGGTAAAAGTAATTCGCAACTCAATAAATACTATTTGAGGTATATATTAATTTAAAAAAAGTATGTGAGAGAGAACATTCTTCATACGCCATGTGCGTCGTGTCTCAAAAGCTGCTAAGGTTCCTCTCTCCTTCTAGGGAGCTTTCAGCTCTCCAGAGTACAAATACAGTCTTCTCTTACTGAGAACAGCATACTATTTTCTCAATTAATAACATATGTAAATACCCACTTCTAATGCCAACTACCATTCATTTTCAGCTTTAAAACAGAATTTGTGATTTTCACTGTGACAACAAGGACAACAATGTTAAGAGGTTGAAAAATGCAATCAATTTTGCCCACTGTTAATGAATGAAACATGTATCACAAAAAAACTAATTTTAAATCTAGAGCGTTCAGGTACAAAATCCATCAAGATAATACGTTAATGTTTAATAGTTAGCACATCAAACTCTGCTCTGAATAAACACAAGCTCTTCTACTAACTTGATTCTATTTTCTTTATACTGTCATATTTTATTTACCTCACTGTTTTTGAAGCATTAATGTAGTCTCTTTTGAGTACAGTAGAAAACAGAATCCATTGCACTACTTGTAAGCTATCACAGCACGCCACATTGGGATTATTTATTATTATTGTCTGTTCATTAAGACCAGATAAAGTACTAGGAATAAATACAAAGACTGCTCTCTACTGTGAAAGGTTATACAGGAAAAGACGTGGAAGAAAAAATGTACTGAGACCCCTAGTGCAGGAAACAAATTTAGACCATTCTAAAATAAATCAGTTCTGGTGTAAGAGGTTTTTTTCTCTCTTCCACTATCTGCAGTAGTGGTGGTAACTAATTGGGAGCTCTGCTCACGCTGTCTGAACTGTGACTGGAAGAAGAGCTATGCAGCCAGCCACAACAATTTAATTGTTCTTGTTAGATATCCACAGGCAGGACACAGATGCTCGAGAAGCTTCATGAGGCATTTGTTTAGTTTTCCTTAACTTATCTCCTTCTGAGGAAGGGCTAAGAGCTCCTGGAGAAAGCCGAGCAGCAGTTAACCTTTGAGGCAGTTAAAGCCTTGGTCAGAAATGCATAAAATCAGTTGAGACCACTGCACCGAGACCAGTTCTGTTACCCACTTCCTATTGCCTTGAAAGCACTAGAATGCCTCAACAACAAAGCTCTGTGGAAAATCTGGAAAATTGTCCTGCAGAGGCTTACACATCCATCTGTTTATCCACATGTCTGTCCATCTATAGGTCGTGGTTGAAATATCTCATACTGATCTAGCATGTTTATTACAGGAGCTGGAGATTGCAGTGGTGCAATTCATGTGCTGAGAAGCAGGAATTTAAAGTCCTTCAGATGGCATAAGGTACGTAAGACATCTTCATAGAAATGACAGTGAGTGCAAAGAGAGACCTGCAAGAGACTGGCACCTTCTGGAGAGAAAGCTGGACACCATGCAGGCTGCCTGCTGTGTCAAAAACGCCTTAGTTTAGGCAACAGATTCTTACCCAGTATGACTCAAACCTTTCCATGAAGTTCTGTGCCACTGAGGAGAAATGCCACAATTTTCTGGTTCTCCCAACATGTAAGGAACACAGTGTTCTCATTCATTTTTCAGGCTACAAGCAGTCAATATGTTCTCAGTGAAATGCAGCCTGTTTAATTCCATAATGCATTGCTTCAGCAGTAGGGCACAACATACCATGTTTAAACAGCCTATTAAAATGCACCTTGTGTTACTCCAGAATCTCAAGGTGGAGGAACTTCATCTTCGCTAGAACTGTACTAATGGTCAATTAATACTTGCCTTATTGTGTGTTATTGCTATAATAATGCATTTATCAATAAACAACCATTTTAATGGAATACATTTCAATGAATTCATATTTTTATTTAGGGGGAAATAGATTGCAGTAAGGAAGTAAAGGGCTCCTACTGCACTCCATAGTGATTTCTTAGAGGTGTCAATTTTCTCCAGTACACTGGAAGTGTGAGAATCACAAATAATATCCTTTGTGCTAAGATTTCTTCTCAATAAAAACCAACCTCAAATGTTTGGGTCATGAATTTGCACTTGGTGATTTATATACCACTACAGGGATAGGATTTTTTAACACTCCTTTTCCGTTACACAAGGGAAAAAAGGTCATGACACAGAAGATAGATATACTAAACCATATGTTCCCTTCTGTTTCTGTGAGTGGAAGAGAGCAGACAGCTGCACATCCCAGCAACGGGATAGATCCACAGTAGGGCCTGCCAACTCGACATTGCCTTTCAGTATTACACTGAAACAATTCTCTAACTCTGGAAGGACCAACTTATGGCATACCCCTCTGATGATTTGGCATACCTTTTTTTGTAAGGTAGGCCTTACTCACAAAGCTGTTGTCGTGAAGAATTCAGGTGTTGCTCCCTGTGAAGGAGCTGGAATTGTCAGAGGTCAGCTTTCACCACTGGGGAAAGACCAGAAACCTTGGGTCACAACTGATAAGCACACATTTCAAGTTATTTAAATAGCTGATGCTGGAATTCAGTGTTTGTCATTTGGAGCCCGATTTTGCAATTGATTGCCTTGCATTTGGAGGATGTGCTTTTGACCTTGTATAATATAGAAACAGCACGTGGCCATGTACGCCTTTGCATTTACAGAATTGTAGAAGTGCCTAGCCTTGCTATAAGTCGCTTGTCCTTTGCCTTCAGGCACTGGTTTGCATTCTTCAGATATGGATAGGAATCTAAAGAGGATACAAAATCTGAACCTGATCTCTGACTGTGACTAGAAGAAACCACATGGCCTTGTGATCTGGCCAAATTTGGTGTGCCACCTTCATTAATCCAACCTGCAGCTGAATAGTTTCTTTACATCCTCTTATTTTTATTTTTATTTTCCTGAAACAGCTGTACACTGTTAAACATCAATGGTATGTCCTCTTTCCTTCCCCTCCCCCCTCCAGATTCCAGTATTTGACTGGTGGTCTAAATAGTATCTCTGCATAACATGTATATGAGTTTATAAAGTAATTTGGTCTCTCTTAGGATAAAGCCCAACCTGCGACAAGGTGGTAGGCAGTTACCACTGGCTTTGCTTTGAGTAGTATGGGAGACTACTCATGCCTGCTCTCAACTTTGAATTCTGATTGAGTAAGTATTCAATTTCTTGATAATTTCTGTAATAGGAAATGAAAATCCAGGTAGGAAGGAAGAGATATTAAAAGCCACCGGCAGTCTGTTCAAAAAAGTAAAATTATTTCCACCCTTGTCTGATAGCATTAACTCTGCTGTAGATTTCAGACTTCTACCATTTGCTTCTTCTAACTTCTGCTCTAGAAAAATTCCCCAGCTTTACACCATTTTTTTTTTTAGTGAAATATTGAAGGTGTTGAAGGAAGCAGTGTGGTGGATACATGGCTTTTGAAAGGCACAAAAAGGTACTGAAACACCAAAGAGACAGTCTGATAAAATCTAGAGTAAAAACAAAACAACAAAAACAAAAAAGGGCCATTACATAGTGTTGCAAAAAACTAAGAAGCATAATTTACTATTTTTAGCAGTTTTATTTATGGAAGTGCCTAGCGACCAACAAGTAGAGTTTTAACAGAGTAGGTACTGTTCGTTTCAGACAAAGAATGAAGATAATCCTTGCTTTGTGGAGATGAAATGTAAAGAAACATAATAAACGTGAAAAGGAAAAAGATACATGGTTTATAAATACCATAAGAAAATGATAGATTCTTCTTAAACTGCAGCTTCTTTAAAATATTTAATTACTTTGTGTAAAAGATCCTAGCTGATACGTTAATAATCCAGTGCTAGGTAGAACACTGGATAAATATAATTTCTGTTCGGTTTATAAAATATTCTCCATAAAGGACAAAAAAATAGGAATGCAAAGGCCCTCACAAGTCAAATAGTGCATGTCCCTGCTTCAAGGCAGGATGGGCCATTCCTGTGACACCGTTCTCAAAGTCTAACGATGGTGGAAATTCTATTACACCTCCAAGGGAATCTGAAAAAATAGTATCTTACATGGCAGTATTTAACCAATAACCAGAAATTCAGCCCTGAAACCATTGCTGTACTGCAAGTTTTGTACAAAAACTAACCGGTTTGTATTTCTCTTTTGGCAGGTGATACCCATGTTTAGTAAGCTTTGTTGTCAGCTGTCTTATTTGCCAGAAATTTGTCTGAAGCAAAAGAAATGAGAGCTTTGTTCATAATTCCCATGGATGAATTGTACAGCTTGGTATATCTGCTTAGTAATCATCATTTGCCACAGAAGAAACTGAACAAATGGGTGCAGAAGGCCCAGTTCTTTCCTGGCCTTCCGAAACGTGCTTCTTAGCTGAAGTGGTGCTAGGATCTAGACATAAAACACAGAACAAAAAGATGCCATTAGTCCTATGAGCCAACTTTTCTGAAATGTTAAGTAATTTTGTGAAAGAAATTAACTTCAGAAAGTACAGTTTGGAGGTTTGTTTAAGCCACTGCAGTATAATTAGACTTTAAATGGAAATATTGTATTGCATGTGCCTACAATCAATTTTTTAGGATTTAAAAAAATTTTTTTTTATTTAATGCTTGGTTTTCTTCAGTGGCCATAATTGGATTTCTTTCGAGTAGTTTTATGACAAATGGACTCAAATTTAGGACTACATATTACAGTCTTAAAACATATGGATATTAGAATGAAAGGAACCAAGGAGCTATAAGATAAATATTACTAGAATAATTTCTTAATTAGTCTTCCCATGACGTTAAACTTGTCTAAAATGAGAATTTGATCTGTAAATATGTTACTAATAGAATTAATTATCTCTAAAAAAATAAAGTACCTATCAGCATTTCTCTTCACCTTTGTTCTTCTTTCCAAACTGCATGCCTTTTATCACCCCATATTTTGTCTTTTCCATTTCTTCTTTATTTCCTCATCAGGCAGAGAATCGTCCTCCAATGCTGATGTCATCCTTGCCAGATTCTGTGAGTTTATTTCAATGACTTCGCCAGGGCAGAGAGCGGGGAACAGTCAGTAATGCTTGCTACTGACAGTGATTATATTCTACATGATTTTCACTAGAAACACAGTTTTTTTGCTGGTATCCCATTGAGCTGAAGATACGAACAGCAGGGTACTTCATCTTGAAAAGATGTGCAGGCAAATAGTTTGAGAAAGGAGCAAAGAGCTTTGCAGTCTGAAGCTGCCAGTACTCCTTGTTTTTCTGCTGTAAGGGATAGTTCTTCTCGACCACAGCTAACTATTCATTTTAACTTGAAGCATGAGGGTACGTAGTCCCTTTGACAATGATTTTTATAAAGTGGAGAACACTGCTAGGAAATGAACTCAGTCTACTCATGTAGGCCACGGAGCCATGGCTTTTCTGATATGCTCAGGTTCACAAATGATTTGATTCCCTTGAGTTTCCTTGACATTTTTAATTAAAATTTCCTGTATTGGTACTCCGATTTTATTGAATATGACAAAGATTTCTTGGCACTTAATTTTTTTTTTTTTTCAAACCAAGGCTGCTTTACAGCCATCATGTAGTGTAAGAGGACTCTGAAGTAAGTGTGAATGACATCACTTTAACAACGTAAAGGAAACTTTGGTGGCTATGAGAATATTTGTATATCCTTTTTTTTTTTTTTTTTGAAATTTCAGTTTTGTGAGTAACTGAAGACAGGATGACAAGCAAGGGGAATTTCTGCATTCTTTAAAGAAAATTATTTTCAGATATGAGTACTACTGACATTGTCAAGAGACCTGTCAAGCATTATTTGCAGAATTTTTCTGCGGCATCTCTTTCACCCTGTGGACCTCCTTCTATAGGAAGGAGATATCAAAAAAGGAAAACTTGAAGAGCTGGAAAAAGCAGAAACTTGCTGGTGGCCATAAAAGACTTCCATACATGCAAACGGTCCTCCTGAAGGTGTACAGCCAAGACTCTAAGGTTGCTGAGGCCAAAATGAGAGCAAACGAGGGAATACTGAACTACAGCCAACATATTACAGCACAAAGGAGCAGTTGTAACCTGGATTCTCATTCATGCTCTCAGTATAGTTTAATATTTATCAAGTCGCTAGATAAACCATATGTGCCAGAACTGTCTTCTCCTTTTGCAGACACAGCTAATTTTCTCCATGGTGGACTTACTGAGTCATTGAATCACTGAGTAACTCGGGTGTGAAAGGATCCCACAAGGTCTCTAGTCATGTTCAAAGGGACAGCTACAAGAGTGCACAAGGTTGTTAAGGGCTTCATCCAGCTGAGTACGAAAAACCTCCCTGAATGGAGTCTGAAAAATTTCTCTTGGCAACTGCTTCCTCTAGTTTGTAACAATGAAGAAGGTTTTCTGTATCTAAAGCCTGGATTTCTCTTGCTTCCATTTTGGTCCTTTGTCTTTCATCCTCCAGTCACGGGCCACTGAGGAACCCTGCTCTGTCTTGCTGATAACCTCCTCAGAGGTAAAGCCAGGCTTTGAGATGTCCCTCTCAAAGCCAGCCTTTCTGAGGCTGAACAAGCCCGCTTTCCTCAGCCTTTCTGCAATAGCCAAGTGCTCCAGCCCCCAGTCGTCTTGCCAGCCCTCTGCTGAACTCTCTCCAGTTTATAAACTGTCTTTCTGTACTGGGGACCCAAGACTGGAAGCACTGTTTAGCTGTTGTCTAACAAGTGCCAAGCAGAGGGAGGTATTAATCCACAGACTTCCCCTTGCTGTAGATCTTCACTGCCGGAGAACACCCCCGGTTCAGCTTGCTGTCTACCAACACTCTCCTTTCAGCAGAACTGTTCCACTCGGACACATCCCAGCCTGGACTGGCACAAGGGCTGTGTCAGGTGCAGGACTCAGTCTTCATCCTGGATGATTTTTATGAGGTTCCTGTAGGCCCATGATAGGAGACAATGTCAAAAACCTTGCTGAAGTCTTTTAAAGTGTTGTTGAAGTCTTGACATTCACTTCCCAAATCATCCTGTTGGCCTTTTTTGAGGACAGGTGCAATGTTTGTCTTTCTCTACTTGTTGGGGACGTCCTCTGAACCCTACAGCTTTTCAAAGATGGCAGACAGCAGCATTATAAAGATATCAGCAAGCTCTCAGCTCTCCCAGAGAAACCATCTGATTCCATGGAACTATATGAGCTATGTGCTTGCAAATAATCCTGTTGTAATCTTCATGCATTTCTAGTACTTCTCCTCCTTGCACAGAGGTCTGGGAGACCTTGTTGGTGAAGAACAAAGGGAAGAATGTACCAACTACGTCAGACTTAGCTGTGCCTGTTCTAACTAAATCATGTACTCTATTCAGCAACTTCCCTACGCTTTTATTCTTCAAGTTCTGTGGATTTTTTTGTGCTTGGTCCTGTACTGGGGATTTTTTAGTCTGTAGATAGCAGATCCTTTACTGAACCTGTTTCTGAGATCCAAAGAGTAAACATGAACTTTATTTATTTATTTATCCATTTCTTTGTATCTCTTTTAGTTGAGCCTTCTACATACAGCTCATGGCCATGCAGTCAAGGGAAAGAAAGAGACTGAATGTTTTGCGTCTATGAAGAAAGCTTGAAATTATTTGAGTTATTTTGAGTTATTATTAATTTGAGTTATTCCTCTTAGATTTTTAGACTTCCTTGTATTCTTTTTTTTTTTTCCCCCCTGAATAGTGTGTGAGGCTGAGAGTCAAGAAGGCACATATGCTGTCCAGAGGAGCAAAGAACAAGTCATCTGAGAACAGTTAATACTTTTAAAATAAATATATGTGAGGTAAGGGGTTAAAAAAATGTCTACTCATTGTGTCCAAGGGATAGCTCGTAGAAGGAAAGCTTTCAGTATAGGCTTTCCTCTGTCTTGTAAGAAATAAAAATATTAAAATAGGAAAACTTGTAAAGAGTATCACATTCACATGCAGATTGTAAATTTTGCAGAAAAAAATAGCAAAATATTTTCAATTGCCACTAATATAAATTCTCTGATGCACACACTGAATGAAAATAAAATTCAAGTATACAGACAGAACACCTACAACAATATGTTCAGGCAATTAAAGAAAATTAGTAGAACTTCCAAAACGAAATATTCCAAACATGTTATTTCAGCTTCTAGCTAAGAGCTGATCATCATTTGGTACTGTGTCATTCTGCCCAATCCACTGCTGAGAAGCAAATTCTGTGACAGTAGTGACCTTACCAGAGGGCAGTGTGCAGTTGCAACCTGCAGTACCTTAATCAATACCATTGTTGTGACCATTCGGTGCCAGATATTTTTTAACTGGGCTAATAGTGACAGGTGGAAGAGCTTATGACAGATTCAGGCGGTAATGAATTTAGGTAATCATGTTCAGGGAAAATATTATTATTATTATTATTTTTTAGCAAATAAGGTACTGTAATTCTAAAACAGTGGATCTGACAGCAAAGTGAAGCAGAAGTGGCATATAGAAAATAATGCTATTTTCTCTATCTGCCCAAGTGCAACCTCTGTTCTCTGGTAATGATTACAGGTTGTTGCTTTAGAAGGCTGTATTTCTGCTCCCCAATAATAACCTTGCTAATTGTATAGTATTGTATGTAGTAGAAAGATTTTTCCTGACCCCACAGGGAATTAGTGCTGTGGAGCATGAGATTTGATTAGCCTTATTATCTTAGCTTGCCCAGTTACCAATGTTGTAAGCTGCCATGAAATTATCCACCCCTTTTAAAAATAAAGCCATACTATTTGTCTTGATTATCTCCTCCCGTGAAGCTGAATTTCACGTGCAAACAGACCTCAGTGATGGAAATAGCACAGGAATTGATGCATAGACTTTTAACTTTGAAGGTATAGTCTCCTTTCATTCTTTCACATTGCCTTTCTATGTAAATCAACATTGTCCTAATTGCTGTGGTTTTGCTTACCCCCCTAAAAAGAAAACAGTTCTTATTCTACTTTCAATAATTGTAATCATCCATGTGATCGTTTAATGAGTTCCTCTGGGATAGCTTGGAAAATTATGCAATTTCTTATGAAGTGCAGCTTACAGATTTTGCTGTCTTGGCTGAATCTTTCAGAATATTTTGAACAACTTTTTCTGCACAGACATGAAATTATACTGTATGCTAACCAACAAAGAAACAAACAACCAAAAAAAATAACCCAACCCAAAAAAACAGCCACCAAAATACAACCAAACAAAACCTCAGTTCGTTTCCTGGACACAAAGAACTTCACTAAAAAAATTCACTTGCATTGAATGCCATTGGATGCACAAATCATCATTATGAGATTGGTAATAACGATGATAAACACAGCAAAGAAGCTGATGCTATATTGTATATAATTTATGTGGTGATTAAGACAATATATTTTAGGGATTACCAACTAAAGAATCTGGAATTCCAGTAGTCTGAAGGTTGATATAGCTGTTGTTGCCAGTCAGACATAGGTAAACTGAAGGACAAAGAATGCCAGACTTGAAGAGTCCACCAGCAATCAGCTTAAAACATCATTTACAAAATATACTGTCTCCAAGTCTTTTGTTTGAACTACTCAACAACAATTCCCCACAGTGGCATAAGAAACTAACTCAAAGAAAAAGCTCTTCTGTGGGCACATCTGTTCCTTTTGTCATTACAATAGTGATCAGAGCAATGATGAAGACACTCAGAATTTAGACCAGAAACTGTGCAGTCCCTAAGACAAAGCAAAAGCTGGAGAAGTTTACTCTTGCCAGTAGACAATTATTTCAGTAATGCGGTGGTGATGGCAAATATAGGATATTTGTTTTGTTTATGTTCTTCATTATGTTTTACACCCAGAACTGTGATGGGACTGAAAACTACACCACACTCATTCCAACGTTTTGTACACTGGAGTGCCTGCTCCTCTACACCTTCAATACCCATGCAGAAGCCCTAGCAAAAGCAGAAGACTCTGGAGGCACACCTGTACCACGCAACTTGTAGCACAGCAGGGAACTGTCACAATATTAGCAAATCCAGTCTCTGCATTTTTACTGAGAAGAGCATCAGGCTTAATAGAAGCCACTTACTTGAGCAAGATCTATGTCATCAAAGGCAAATTTCAAAGCTTTGTAGAGTCATCAACCCCATTTCAAGTGAAATCCAACTGCTCAGCCCTGAAGCATGAGGGCTGGAGCTGATCAGCAATGCCAAACAGCCTTTATGCTCCCTCAAGACTGTGGTTAGACAGAAACCGAGATAATCCATGACATAAAGCAACTCAGCTTTTATAGTTTGTTTTATAGTGCCTGGCTGCCTGTGACCACTAGTCAGAACTCGCTGGAGCTTAAGTCAGGCCTGACCGGGGGCCACTCCCTCTCTGCCCTAAAATGGGAACAGAGTGATGCTTGGCTTGTTATATGGGTAAAAAGGATTTAGAGTCATTTTGCACCTCAGGAAGGACGTAAAGCAATCAGAATGAACTGCATCACCGAGGTCCTAATGGCCAGCCTTGGATAGGGCATTTCTGTTATGCATGGCATATGAATGTAAGTTACAAATAGCCTGAAAGATATAATTCCTACCACAGGATGAAGTCTAAGCTCTGAAGTTCTAAATTCTCCTTTTAAACAACACATCTCTGTTTGTTTGTTTGTTTGTTTGTTTTTCTTGACCTTAATGGATTCGAATGAATTAAGCACTGGACAAGAGGTGATGTGCAAGCATTTGGGGCACATTCCCTGAAGGGCTTTAATAGCCAAATAACAGCTGTGGAGGCCAGAATGAAAAACATTCAAAAAACTCCAGAGCAGTCAAAGTACTTTGTGCTTAGATATTTCTGTTACAGTCAGTAATGAGCTGCCATGTTTCACAGTTTTGGATTCAAGCTTTGAATTGAACTGTAATAAGGAACCTTAGACTTTTGCAGTAAAATGATTTCCTTTCGTAGGCAATGAAGGTAAAGTCAGGACATCATTCAAGATACCAGCATAAATTCACACAACCCTTTCTCTATCTAGAGGACAGCCTCCCAGTTGAAGGGACTGAAAGATACGTCAACATGATGTTGTGAAATGTGGAATGAGATGACATTTCTGAGTTTTGTAACTCTGGCTCAAAAATTTTTCCATTAGTATATCACAAGAAAATAAGCGAGGAACAGAGAAGAGAGAAAGATGTGGGGTTATTTTGGGGGAATGAGAATTTCCTACTCCTGTCAGTTTTTCCACTGTAGCTGCTGGGATATGAACACCAGAAGTATGGTAGGTCATCATATCGCTGAGAAGCCCTCGAGTCCTGTTCAACTCCTCTTCAACTAAATAAGATAACTGCTTGTGAAGAATTTTATAAAAAAATACGTTCAACTTGGACATTTTTTTGAGAAACTGCAAGAGGACTGTCATCTCTTTGGACCCAGGGATAGGTAATACCATGTGCTTGTGAAGTTCTTGGCACAGTGACTCGTCAGTGTAGAGCCTTTTGTAGCTACTGTATTTTGAAGACTAAATGAAAATAACTCATAATTACATGAGGACGAGATCTTACTTGATGAATCTCTTACACCCATCTGGAGTACTGCGTCCAGGCCTGGGGCTGCCAGTACAGGAAGGACATGGAGCTCTTGGAGCAGATCCAGAGGAGGGTCTCTAAGATGATCAGGGGGCTGGAGCACCTCTCCTATGAGGAGAGGCTGAGGGAACTGGGATTGTTTAGCTTGGAGAAGAGAAGCCTCCAGGAAGATCTTATTGTGGCCTTCCAGAACTTGAAGGAAGCATACAAACAGCAGTGGGAACAGCTGTTTACAAGGGTGTATAGTGATAGGACAAGGGGGAATGGATTTAAACTGAGACAGGGGAGGTTTAGGTTAGATATTAGGAGGAATTTTTTGACACAGAGGGTGGTGATGCACTGGAACATGTTGCCCAGGGAGGCTGTGCATGCCCCATCCCTGGAGGCATTCAAGGCCAGGCTGGATGTGGCTCTGTGCAGCCTGGTCTGGTGGCTGGCGACCCTGCACACAGCAGGGGGTTGAAACTAGATGAGCATTGTGGTCCTTTTCAACCCAGGCCATTCCATCATTCTGTGATTTACTGGTCAACCTGAGAAAGGTTGTTCACTAGCTGGCTGCTGTTCCACCATTCTTTATTTATATCCGTCATATGCTGCTTCTTTGACATCTTTGGTTGTGTAACAATCAGCTTATCTGCTATCTGGTAGGAAAGCACAACCTGAACTGGCTGAAATGCAAATCAGTAGCTAGCAGATTTTCTGTTCAAATGCACTCAACGCCCGCGAAGTTATGGCTTTTCCTCCTCCCCCATGGCTTCCACAGCAAAGGCCAGTGTGAATTGCAGACAGCTATTATTAAGAGTTGCCATATGCTACAGCAGGCTTTCGCATATTTTTAAAACAGCATAATTACTGTTGACCTGTACACTTGGATTTTAAAATGTTTGGAAAGTTGGTGAGAGAATGCAAAAAGAAAATGGAAGTGGGCTGGGGAATGAGGTATTGCTTTTGATAGGAATGCTTTCTTTTCTGGGGCAAACTCTGACCTGTGAGCATGCTTCAGCTTCCACGAGAATTCTGCATGCAAAAGTGCCTTAGCATTTGCAACTCAAATTTCATTAAGTCCAAGAGTATTCAAAGGTGAAAGTCTTCACAAAATCAACCAGAAGCAGAAAGTGACAGCTAGTCTATAATCACGGCTCAGAACAAATGAAACGTTAGACAACGGCCATGGGAAAATCCGCTTTTCCTGCAGCTCGCACCTTGGTGCTGAGGACGCAGCTGGTGGCTGGTAGTTCCCCTCTTTGGGATGCCTGCTGATCCCCTCAGGCCCAGCTCTTACACAGGCTCTCACACACACACACCCCTGCTCCCTCACACCGCACACTCACGCTGACACACACACATCTGTGCTCACGCTGACTCTCCCCAACACAAACGCACCCTCCTGCACGCGTCCTCATGCACGCTGCCACGCCAGCCTCACACATCCCGTCGCACACACGCATCCACACGCTCAGTCTCACGGTCTCTTACACACACTTGCGCTCACATTTGCACACGCACTCTCACACTCCTATACCCTCGTGCACACGCCCTCACTCGCTCTCCCTCACTCCTCCACACACACACACACACACTCTCACACACGCCGACAGACGCGCAGCTCCTCACGCACTCACGCATTCTCACACACACGCACACCCGCAGGGGCGGGGCCGCTGCCCGGGGCGGTTGGACGGCAGCGGCGCGCGCCCCCTCACGCGCTCAGCCGTTCGCTCGGGCGGGGGTTCGGAGCGGAGAGGAGGCGCTCGCGCGCGCGCGCCGCGGAGGCGGCAGGGGGCGGGGGAGGAGGAGCGCGAGCGCGTGCTGCTGGCAGGCCGGCGGCGCGCGCCGAGGCGGGCGCAGAGCGGCGGGGCCGGAGCCGCGGGGGAAGCGGCGGGGGAAGCAGCGGCGGCAGCTCCGGCTCGCGCCTCCGCCAACCGTCGGCCCGCGGGCCACGGCTCCGTCGATGGGGCTGAGCGGCGCCCGCTGAGGAGGAGACGGGGAGCGGGAGCCGGTGCCGGCCGGTGAGTTTTGATAGCAGGCGGCGCGTGTGCGGGGCGGGGGGGTGGGGGGGGAGGGAAGAGGGAGAGCGGCGAGCCGGCGGGGAAATGGAGCGGGAGGCGGGGTCCCGCGGCCATCCGGCGCGGCTCGCTGCCCGGCGGCGGGAGCCCCGAGCGCGGGGCGGGCGGAGCCGCCCGCAGGTAGCGGCGCCGTGCGGGCCTAAGGGGCGGCGGACACGGCAGGGCATGGCAGCGCCGGGCGCGGGGAAGGAGGCTGCGTGCCCCGAAGCGGGCTCGGGCTCGGCCTCCCTCCCGCCGCCCCCGGCCGTGTCCCCGCGAGCCCCGCGCCTCATCTCCCGGCCCGGATTACCCCCACCCACCCCCGTCCGCGTTTTCTCTCCTCCTGTGGATTACCGGAGCTCCCGCCCCTCCCCGCCCGGGATCCGCCCCCCTCCCGGGGATTATCCCCTTCCCGGCAGATTATCCCCCGCCCCGCGCCCCGCTGTGCCCCGCGGATTATCCGCGCTCCCTTCGGGATGATTCCTCCCCTCCTGATCTCTGCCCGCCCCGTCCGCGGCCGGGTCCCTCCGAGGAAGTCTCCCGTTCTCCTCTTCCGTCCGCCCCTGCCCGGGAACGGGGGAAACGCGGGGGCAGCGGGTTGAGCAGAGTTCCCGTAGCGCATTCGCCTCCTCGGGCTCCGTGCGAGCCCTGCGGGCGAGGGGACGCGGTGCTGGGGCGGTACCGCTCGTGGCGGAGTTCCGCGGGGAGATGGGTGCACCGCTCGGCGGTGGTGCAGCTGTCGGGGAGATGCCGGTTGATGGAGGAGAGCCCATCCGGAGCAACGCTCCATGGAGACGTGCGTGGTTGGGTGGTGGAAATCCAGTCTAACGCGCAAGCTGCGTGACAGGAGAAGACCCAACGGCCTCCCGGTCTCTTGGAGGAAGGTGTAGTGTACGGTTGTGATACTGAAATAGGAGTGGGGAGGTACAGGGGTGACATTGCTGTTGCACGAGGGTCAGAGCACACTTGAACAGCTGTGGTTGGCTCAGTCTGTCTGTGGCCAGAGAGAAGGTACCTTTACATCAGCTCTGATGCTCGTGTGGTTTATTGCTGTCAGTGTGCTGGCAGACAAAAAACAACTTCGTTCCTAAGGAGCGCAGATAAGGTTTATCCAGTGTGTTTGGCACCTGCGTACACTAGAGCATTCTCTTATTATCATTCCTGGTCTTAGTGCACAGGAGGAGAGTTGCAGAGCTCCTTGCGGCACAAGGCCCAGGATTGCATCCATTAAACTTCCCTGACTTGGCTTGGGGAGGAGGAGGGACTGTGAGAAATTGTAGAGAGGCTGGGTGGCTATAAATAGATGTCGGACTTAAAGGAAGCTTTGAACAGATCTTTCGTACTGCTTCTGTACAGATAGTGTCTGTTCAACCTGACAGTAGCATCGTAATGTTTCTTTTTATTTCTGCTGAGGTGGCTGGCTTTTAACACTTTGCCATGCAACCATCGATCTGCTCAGTGTTTGTCACAAAATTCTTGAAAATGCTGTAAATTCTCATTTAACTAAAGCGCTGACAATTGGTGTCTACTTTGAGCTAATGGTAATGCGATTTTTAAGCAACTGTTCAGAGACATCTATGAAATCTACTTTCCTCCCTTGAAATGTTTGGAATTGATGATGTCGCTTTCCTTATTTTGTTCTCGAGCACTGCACTACAGAGATGACTTGAGATCCATATTGTTCTGAAAAATCTGCAGTACCGAGCACGGTGTCACCGTAAGGCTGCTCCCATTATTAGTCTTTCATTTCTTTTCTATATGAGACACAATACTACTCTCTTCATTATTAATTTTTACGGAACCTTCAGCATCTGGCCAGAAGTGTGTATATTCAGCTTCTCTGGATTCTGTGTGCGTTTGTTTCTGATGCTGTGGATCACTGCAGTTTCCGTTTGTCAAAGCTGCTTAATACAGAAATTATTGACAAATACACAGTACCAGCTCAGAATGATGCCTGTTCTGCTGCTAAATTAGTGGGCTAACTGCGCATACCCAAAGCCTCCAAAACGATTGAAAAGCTGTTGCAACATATGTGCAATTGGACCTTTCCTGAACTACCTCTTGTTGCTTTTTTTTCTTAAGCAAATAATGGAAGCTGTGCACGTAAATCATGGTGTAATCACATATGGGTTTTTAGGTAAAATAGAAATAATGAAGAAAGTGCTGAAAATATGCCTAGCTAACATGAAGGAGTCTTACAGAGGACTAAAAGGGAAAATGAATCTCAAAAAAGAGGGGAAAAAATCAACTAATTTGTAGAAAGCTGCTTATTTAAAGCATACAATGTTCGTCTTTTTTTTTTTTTTTTTCTTCTTCCGAATATATGCACACCTCAACAAGATGAGGAAATAGAAATCTGGACAATCTGATTACTTCTGACATTTCTACTTGATGCTTACCCACAGTACAAAAGGAAATCCAAATACTCTACCAAATGATTTGGCTGGCTATGTTTCACACTTTTAAGGATGTGATTGAGCATTGCCCTCAAACACTCAACTTATGCTGTCACAATCAGGCTCCTGCTCGGTATTAGGTCCTCGCACTGGGTACGTCTGTGTGTAGAAACAGAGGTCAGTGATCTGAGGGAAACTTCATAGTACCGTGATGACCGGCAAAAGAGCCTTCAGTGTGAGTCTGTTCATGCAGTGACTCAGTCCCTGAATCATACCATTTTTCTAAATGTATTTATTTGTATATTTGTTTATTTGAATACAGCTTTTAAAAAGTTTTGTGTCCTTTAAAACCATGCTTGATGCAACCACTGCAGGCTCTTGTGAGTGCCCTCTGATGCACTGTGTAGGACGCTGATCTGTAGACAAATGATGCTTTCCTCGTGCTGCAGGAAAGAGGGAATTTCCTTTGCTTTAAGAGGCAACAACAGAGCTGGATTCATGGCAGTGTTTATGGTAGCATTTTAGGTTTTGCAGTGTCCACTTAGATGTGGAATGAATTAAGCTGTCCTCAGATTGGAAAGAATAACGGAGTCACAGAAGCTTAAATTATATGGTCTGTGTTCTGTGTTTAAGGTAAAAACAGATAAGAATTGACTCACCCTGGTTTGAGAAATTGACTGAGTAGTAATTGTGTTACAAGATAAAGAAAAGTATCTGCTGCAGAAGGCATACTGTAGCATGGTTCTCAACACCTGAACTTGCTTTTTGCTGTCCCTTCTTTCTGTTGCTTTGACTTGGCTTTGAATGAGATGTTCGTGTTTTTCTCCCGAGGAAAGAAGAGCCAGTAGAGGAGGTGAAGCGTGAGAGGAAGCCAAACAGCTCGCTGCAGTGGTACACAGCCTATGTTATGTGAACTCAGTGCCGCGCAAACTGAAGTGTGTTTGGCCTTGCATAAGTGGTGAAAAATGACTTCTTAGAACTGTCCTGCAACCAGAGCGGCACAGACAACACTGGGGTCATTTGTGTGGAAGGATGAGGTGGAATATGATCACAGGATGAAAAGCGAGCCTGTGGGAATGTAGTTTTAGTGTCCTCCACAATAGAAAATACTCATAATGTGAAGAAAAACTGAACTTGGCTAAGTCTTACAGGTGAGAGGCAGGCTGAAATACAGACAAGCAGGCCACAGGTGCTGCTGGAGGAACGTAATGGTTTGTTTTCATGGACATGAAGCTATCAGTGTGACCTTTTTGTCACAGGACAAATAGTAGGCAGTGATTGCCTCAGAGCTTCAATTTGATGTAGGATTTCAGTTCAGTGTGTGCTAGCGAGAAGGCAGTGCCAGGTAGCTGGGCCAGTCACTGGCTTTGGCTAACTCGGTACAGGTGTGACTAAAATCTTTCTAACCTGAGCTCAGCAAAATGTTAGAAGAATGGTTCGGGTTCAGTTGTGAGGGAGGCAGTTAAGGCCACTTCAGAGTTAAGGTTTTTATTTGGTTCCTTGGTCATTATTGCTAACCATCAAGTTTATCTCAGGTAAGCTATGACATGATGTTACTATGCCATTCTGTGGCTCAAAAATTTCTTTTTGACAGAATAAAGGAAGCCTGAATTATTTAGTCATGGCTGATGTCATTCTTAGAAGAATAATTGACATGAAAAAGAGGTTGAGAGAGGTGTTTTTCTTATGAAAGCATTTACCTTGCTATTTTGTGTTGGTTAGTAAAGTGATGAGTAGTATCATAGCTGTGTTAAATAAGTAAAATAAAACATTGAAAGTTGAAGATTCTCTATTCATGTTCAATTACTGAAGATTGAAACATTGATGATTCTTATGTTTAATTATTTTCAAGATGTTTGTGGTTTTGTTGTTCATTTGTTTTTAAAAAAGAGTGTTACATGTTGAAAATGCTCCATGTTAACAGTTCTGTGTGTTTAACCCATGTCAGTTGTCTAAAGAACTCGTCCTAACATTAATGTCTGGCTCTCATGAAAACAGTGGAAGCCAGTAAGATATTGCAAGTAGGTGGCTTTTCACACTTATTGGCAGCAAATGTTATGTAAGAAATGACTTGGATGTGCTATTTGGAATATATTGACTTAGGCAACCGTTTGAGAATAGGAACCTCATGAAATCCATGCTGACCTTGGGGAAAGTCAGTAATTTCCACAAACTTTTTCTGGTAGAGGGGAGAGGAGAACTGGTTCTCAGCATCTCTCACTGGTACCTTGCTGTAATGGCTTGTGCATATCTGCATTTCAAAGGATCAAATTAATATTGCAGTTGAATTCACTTTTCCAGTAGGTGGAGACACAGCTGTTGATTCCAAAGTATCTTTAGTCTTTATCTGTTTATTCCAAATATTTTTCTCAAAATACTTTCCAAATAATGAAAATTAGAAGGTAAGAGAAAAACTTGAAGATCATTTCATTTAAGCCGCTTTGCTGAGGTAATGTTGGCATTCAAGTGTCATTTCTGTAGTAAGAGTAGCTACTCAAATAGTTTGTTTTTAGCTTTCTAATTAAAGCTTTATCTCTACCCACTGGACAAATGTGCATTAATGAAAAG